ATTTGGTAAATATAACAAGTGTCCTTCTTGTAAAACACACACACACACACACACACACACACACACACACTATATCTAGAAAGGTTGAATATCATCTCTTTCATAACCAGAGGCAGCTCCTAATATTCCCTGGATATTTCAACAGCAATATGCCTTCAACATTATACAAGTATCTTATTAAGAAAAGCTTGAGCATATATTGAGAATGAAAATATCAAGTAAATCCACATCATCCCAGGATGTGCAGTAGGTGAGTAGGGGTCAGTGAATCAGAGTAACCAGGAATCCACATACAAGCCTCAGAAAACAGTCTTTTTCACCTTCCAAACTCTCAGGATTCTCAGGGACAGTTAATCAACTGAATTTCTCTTTTGGACTTCTCAAAGAGTAAGTACCTGAGTATGATTTTCCATTCTTCTTTCTTTAGGAGTTTTAGATGATTGTTTTCTGCAGAATATAGTTTAGCTCTTGTCTGCTCAAATCACAGAAATGTTAATAATTCATTAAATTGTAGTCACAAAGGAAATAGGAGGCAAGAGTTTGTGACTTTGCATTGTTTAAAAATGTTTAGAAGGTCGAATTTATACATTAACAAAAGTAAATCATTTGAAGGTAAGTGAAGAACTTTTACCTTAAATTGAATATTTTCTGATGATTAATTTGGATCCCTGTTCTCTTTAAATGTTCAGTTCTCTGAAAGACAAAGAAACAAATCAATGATTCACAAGACAGTGTCAACTGACTTGCTAAAATATTTAGGAGCAAGGACATGACTCAAAGTTTCCATGAATATGTAAAAGACAAACAGTGGGTGACTCTTGATTAAATAATAATATAGGTAACTGAGAATTTAAAAATATTCTGATCAAGTCTATTAATGATTTAATTAAACAAACCAGTTAATCTATTGACAGTCATTTAATTACATTTGGGGGGGCAGGGTGAATCTAACCATCTTGGAATTATAGCAGCTCTTCTCTAATCACAAAATAACTGTCAGTTTACTTTCTCTCTAATAAACAATGCAAAATTTGGGATATATACCAAAGCAGAGAGTGGGTGGATTACAACTCCTCGTCTCTGGAGGAAAGGATTATGAAGGTAGTCAGAAAGTATTCCTCCTATAAAATCAGACGCCTTAATTAAACAAAAATATTAAAATGTCAATACAATGTGTCTTGACATATTCTCTATCAAAATCTATACACTTAAGAAAATGGTAGTTGGGGGGAGGAAACGCTTCCTCCCCCCAACTACCAGGACCCCA